CCACTTGAGGCCGGGGCCTCAGCCTGCTCTTTAATCCCTAGCCCGGCCTCAGGCAGATCATCAATGCTTCATACTCCCCATCGGTTGACTCATCTGCTGAGATCAAGCTCAGCCAGGCCTGGAGGAGGCTCTGGTGATAGGAAAGCCAAGGACCCATTGCCCCAGGACCAACCAGTGGTGTCACATAAAAAGAAGCCTCCTGTGCACTCCCAGGAGCTACAGCTATTGTCCTAAAATAATTTACTGTGCTTCGCTGGGCTCTTCACTTCCCACGTGGTACTGGTTTTCCCATTTGCTACTGTCGCATTAGCCAAAGCACCCGTGTGGGAGGCCAAGTCCAGAGTCAGTGTGGGAGGCACCACCAAAGGGTGTGGGGGCAGGGGGCAAACTGCGGCCTTCTCTATCATCAGTCCACCATGGGAAGGAAACTGACATTTATTAAGCACCTGCTATGCTGTATGTCTATGTGTAAAGGTGCATTCACCTAAAGGCATAAGTGATGAACTTCTTTTAATCTATAACTAATGTCTGAGTGTTGAAGACCTTCCCCTGGAGCCTCAGTAAGCTTACTTACTCTAAATGAATCCAGGTGCTGGGGTGATTACCCTTATCTTGTTTCCTGCTAAATCACAGGTTTGGGGAGTTCTTCCAGACCCCTAATAAACGTGTTTAATCCTAAATGGGTCCTGTTAAGAATTCCTTCGTTATTCTGTCATGCTTTAAGGCCCAGAAAAGGCCTAGACAAAACCCTTGGTGGGCTTTTGTTACATCACGGCCTTTGTATAAAGGCACTGGCTTTTAATTTTTAACTTAAACACCCAGTCAGTACTGAAACAGTTGTTACGGAGACCTGTGTTAGTGAGACTTGGCCTGCCACAATATTATATTCTCCTCGCTAAAATGGGGATAACAATTGCCTGCATCACAGTGTTGACATGGCCTGGGTAAAGTGGCTCACACTTGTAATTTCAGCACTTTGGGAGGCTGAGGCTGGCGGATCACTTGAGCCCAGGAATTTGAGACCAGCCTGGGCAACATGGCAAAACCTTGTCTCATAGAAAATTCAAAAATTAGCTGGGCATAATGTCACATGCCTGTGGCCTCAGCTACTGTGGAGGCTGAGGTGGGATAATCACCTGATCCTGGAGGTAAAGTCTGCTGTAAGCTGCGATTGCACCACTGCACTCCATCCTGAGCAACGGAGTGTCATAAATAAATAAATAAATAAATAAATGTTGGCATGAGGGTAAGAGATGATGATGATGATAAATACCAGTGTTCCAGAAAGTTCCATCTTTGATTAGTGGCTTCCATGACCACCATCTCCAGGGCTCCAGTAATGTGTCTCTGTGCCTCCGGAGACTTCACTCTTCCTATACCCCAGTTTGCCTCAGATGCTCTGGTGTCTCAGTCCTCAGAAGCCAGCTGACATTCCTCTTCCGATCAAGCCAGGGAGCTGCCTCTCAATAAAAGCTTTGCCTTCCCTGACCCCAGGCTGTCAGAGAAGGGACTTCCTCCTCTGGACATTGTCTCCAATCCTTTATCCCTAGAGACGCCTGCCCCTGGGGCCCAGAGCCCCACAAACCAGATGCATGTGACTTTCCCGGGTGACACATTCCTTCCCTCCTGAAGATGCTCATCTCAGCCTCTTTCTACTTTCACTGCCTTAGGAAAGCACACAGTGGCCTTACCCTAGCTCTCTGGGCCGCGCCTGGCCATCCCAGCTGGCCTAACTCACTCTCAGGAGGCACTAGGGCATGTTAGGCAAAGCCCCGCTCAACCCACGTGTCTTCATTATCACTTGCTGTGTTATGAATGACTCCAAAACGTTTGTTATATCACAGCGCTGTGAGTCAGGACTTGAGAAGTGGCTTAGCTGGTGGTTCTGGCTTAGGGAGTTTCATGAGGTTGCAGTCCGGTTGTCAGCCAGGATCATGTCATCAAGGAGCTTGCCTGGGGCTGGAGGATCTTCTGCAAGCTCACTCCCAGGGCTCTTTTCAAGTGACAGAAGGCTCTTGTTCCTTGCCAGCCATTGCCTGGAGATCTCAGCTCCTCACCATGGGGCATCCCTCTATGACATGGTGGCGTCTTCCCAGAGGGAGTGTTCTGAGAGAGACAGTAATGCAAAAGCCATAATATCTTTTTAAATATTTTCAGATTCCTCATGATCTTTTATTTGGTATTTTTAAAAACCATACATAGTAATACTGACAAACTAGATTTTAATGTTTGACATTAGAGTTCAGACCAGATGATAGAGCTCTGCTATACTTTGCAATGTGATTTTTGTTAATTTATTTATGATTTTAAAAAAATATTTTATTTTGCAATGTGATTTTTAAAAATAATAGCCTCAGGATGGCGTGATGGCTCGCACCTATAATCCTAGCACTTTGGGAGACTGACATAGGCAGATTGCCTGAGCTCAGGAATTCAAGACCAGCCTGGCCAACATGGTTAAACTCCGTCTGTACTAAAAATACAAAAAAAATTAGGCAAGCATGGTGGGGAGTGCCTGTAGTCGCAACTACTCAGGAGGCTGAGGCAGGAGAATCACTTGAACCCAGGAAGTGGAGGTTGTAGTGAGTCAAGATTGCCTCACTGCACTCCAGCCTGAGCAACAGAGAGATTCTCTGTCTCCAAAAAAATAAATTAAATAAATAAATAAGCAGCTTAATTGAGATGTCATTTATGTACCATACAATTCACCCATTTAAAATATACAATTCAGTTTTTAGTATATTCACAGAGTTCTGCAACCATCACCATGATTAATTTTAGAACATTCTCATCACCCCAAAAAGAAACCCCATAACCATTAGCAATCACTCCCTGTTTCTCCCGAAGCCTCCCAGCCCTCACTAACCAGTAAGCCACTTTCTGCCTACATGGATTTGCCTATTTTGGACATTTAATATAAATAGAATCATATAAAATATGTGGTGTTTTATAATTAACTTCTTTTATTTAGCATAATGTTTTCAAAAATTATCCTTGTAGTATGTAACAGTACTTCATTCCTTCTTATTGCTGAGTAATACTCCATTGAATGAATATACTATGATTTATTTATCCATTTATCAGTTGATAGACAATTGGGTGGTTTCCTCTTTTTGGCTATCACAAGTAATGCTATGAACATTTACGGACAACTTTTTGTGTGCACATGCATTTTTATTGCTTTGGATATATACCTAGGAGTGGAATTGCACAGTCATATGACAGCTCTATGTTTAATATCTTCAGGAACTGCCAGGCTATTTCTCAAAGTTGCTGGACCATTTCACAATCCCATCAGCAACGTGTAAGGGTGCCAATTTTTCTTTTTTTTACTTTTTTCTTTCCCCCTCAAACACTGTTCAGACGGAGTGCCAATTTTTCTACATACTTGTCAACACTTGCTATTATCCGTCTTTTCTATTACAGTCATCCGCATGGCTATGAAGTGGTATCTGCCAGGTTTTGATTTGCATTTCACTGATGGTCAATAATGTTGAACAACTTTTTGTATGTTGCTATGTGTATATTTTCTTTGGAGAAATGTCTATTCAGATCCTCTGTTTGGTTTTTAGTTATTTGGCTAAAATAACTGTTGTTTTATTATTCAGTTTTTTTATTATTGAGTTGTTAGAGATCTTTATACACTGTAGATGTGAGATCCTTATTAGACATAATTTGCAAAATTTTTCTCCAATTCTTTAGGTTTTCTTTTCACTTTCTTGACCAAGACTTTTGCCTTGAAGCATGTTTTAATTTTGATGATGTATAGTTTGCTTGTCTTTTGTTCTTTGTACTTTTGGTGTCATATCTAAGAAACCATTGACTAATCCAGAATCATGAAGATTTTCTCTGTTGTCTTCTAAGAGTTTATACTTTTAGCTCTTAAAATAGGTCTTTGATACCCTTTAAGTTAATTCTTGTGTATGGTGTGAGATAAGAATCCAACTTTATTCTTTTCCATGAAAACACAATGTATTTTATAACCTAATCTCAGAAAGGACTTACCATTATTTCTGCCATATTCTATTGGCCACATAGGCCAAGTCTGTTATAATGAGGTTGAGAACCACATGTTTCTTTCTGATCATGAAGACCAAGAGGATAATCGGGCACCGTCTTAGAAGCTGGTTTCCATGCCACAGACTTTCAATATTCGTTAATCAGGGAAAGTTGATGATATTACCTTTACTGAATAACCACATGCGATTACAAATATTCCCTCAGCTCTAAGGGCTAGCTAATTTATTCCTCTATTAATGGTTTATGTTCTCGTGTGTTCTCGTAATAAGATCTATTATTTCTTGAGCAACAGCTTAGTTCCTAACACACAGCCAATTTTCCCATATGTTATTTTTAAGCCCCACTTATTGGATGTTAAAACAAGGAGTTTTAAATCTCCCATTTATTAATAAAAAAAACCACAGAAGAGGTTACATGACACATCCAACGTCATTCAGCCAGGAAGTGGTAGTCAAGTTCTAAATCCTTGGTTCATCAGACTTTAAAGTCTGCCTCTCCACCACCGACTGCTGTTCAACAGTCTCCTGAACATGCAGGTCCGGGCTGAGCCTCGCCTCCTTCTCTGCCCTCTCCATGCCACACAAAGCTAGCTGTTCTTAAAGTCAGCATCCTCAAAACACTCAGAAACATAGGCCATGGAGCCATCAGACTGTGAGATACACTAGACCAAGCTGCAGGATTTGGGCAGTGATCCCGGGAAGGCAGACAGGTCCAGTGGGATCTGTTGGATTCAGTTACCATTCTCGTAGCTTCAGCAGATTTCTTTTCCTTTTTTTTTTTTTTTTTTTTTTTTTGAGAAGTGTCGCTCTTGTTGCCCAGGCTGGGGTACAGTGGCGCGATCTCGGCTCACAGCAACCTCCGCCTCCCAAGTTCAAGTGATTCTCCTGCCTCGGCCTTCTAGGTAGCTGGGATTATATGCATGCACAAACATGCCCGACTAATTTTCTGTTTTTTCAGTAGAGACAGTTTCTCCATGTTGGCCAGGCTGGTCTCAAACTCCCGAACTCAGGTGATCTGCCGGCCTTGGCCTCCCAAAGTGCTTCGATTACAGATATGAGTGACCACACCCTGTCACTTCAGCAGATTTCTAAGGTATTGTACCAAACTTCAAAATATAACCCAAGTACATTTTATTTGCATTTTATAGTTTATTTTGAAGAGCTGAGCCCCTTAATGGTTATCCAAAATATTATTTCCTTTAAAAACACACTTTAAAATGTTTCACAGTATTAAATATGATTTTATTACATCTTAGAATCAGAATGCTTTCTAAAATTAAGGTATAATTTTATGACTCAATACTATCAGAAAATAAGCCTGGTTATACATTCAAAAATTACATTACTTAACACTTTTATGTGTACCCATTCCAAAAGGAAGTATAACACATCTGTCTCTCTACCCCCTGCCCACCCCTCTCAAATTTCAAGGAGGGTCAGAGACTACTTATGGGCATTAGAAACAAGAGTAATAGTTTTGGTCCTCAAAGAAATGTAAAACCATTTTCAAACATTAAATTTCTTGTACCTCTTGGGGAGGGTGAGATTTTGCAATCTGGGGCTTTTTCACTGTTTAAGCATTTCCCATTAAAAACAGCTGCTGTTTTCCTCCTTTACAACACACAGATGAAACCACACAGGCCAGGGGTTCTCCTTGTGCTGCAGTCATTTCCATGCACTTCCTGACCCCTGGGGACTTTATGTTTCTAGGGAGGGGAAACACATTGGAAACCTAATGCACCCAGCAAAGCTTCAGGCAGATACAGAAAAAGCAAATATGTTCATAAAAGTGTCTCATTTATTTTGCTGTATTTAGCCACTTCATGGTCTTCATGTGGCTGTCAAGTTCCCCCAGGTCACAGAAACAAGCATCTAGTGCCAGAGTGCTGCCTGCCGCTCCGGGGGGCCTTCTAACATGCAAGCACACAGGCACCTCTCATTTATACAGGCTCATTTGTGCAGCTGAAAGGCGGCAACTTGCCTAGACCACTGCAGCAGCTTCCCAGCTGGTCTTCCTGCCTCTGGTCCCTGCCTCTGCTCAGCCCCTACACCACAGACTGACCTTTCTGAAATGCCTACGCCTCTCTCCGGATATGGTTGGGCTCTCTATGTCCCCACCCAAATCTAACCTTGAATTGTAATAATCCTCACATGTCAAGGGCTGGGCCAGGGGAGATAACTGAATCATGGGGGCAGTTTCCCCCATGCTATTCTTGTTATAGTGAGTGAGGCTCACAAGATCTGATGGTTTTATAAGCATCTGGCATTTCCCTTGCTTGCACTCATTCTCTCTCCGGCCACCCCGTGAAGAGGTTCCTTCCCCCATTATTGTAAGTTGCCTGAGGCTTCCCCAGCCATGTGGAACTGTGAGCCAATTAAACCTCTTCTCCTTATAAATTACCAGTCTTGGGTACTTTTTATAGCAGCGTGAGAATGGACTAATACATCTCCCAAGCTTAAAATCACTGTAATGGAAAGAAGAGGGACAACCAGGCATTATGAACCTCTTGAAGCAGCATTGAAAAAAAAAACCAAACCTGAATATAATGACATCTGTAGCTCCAACTCCCAATTTATAGGAAACACACAGATAGAGGCACGTGTGAAATGACACCACGAGCTGCAGCTCACAAAATCCAGACTGCAGGAAATTCTACAGGACAAATGACAGAAACAATAGATGGAAAGGGACTCTATGGGTTAAAGGAGACTTAAAGAAAGCAAGGTATGAACTTTATATGGATTCCAAATCAAATTAACAAATCATTTTTTAAAAAGTAAAGAGACAATTAGGGAGATGTGAACATCTGACTGAATATTTGATGCTATTAAGGAAGTATTGTTAAACATTTTAGATGACTTAATGGTATTGTGGTTGTGTGCTTTTTAAAAAATCTCATATTTTAATTCAGAAACGTACTGAATATTTTCTTTGAGATTAGCAACAAATCGATCCTGAGGTGGTGGGGAGCGCTGAAGATGCAGCTGGAACAAGACCAGCCACAAATTGATCAGTATTGAAGGTGGAACACTGAGTCCATTACAGTATTACTTCTACTTTTGGTATGTTTGGAAATCTTTATAATAAATAACTTTTTTATGTTTTTGAAAAAAATATTTATTACATAATAAATAACTTTTTACATGAAAAAAAATATTCCAGTGGGTCCCCCATGGTCTATATCAGCACTGATGGCTCTGGATCTCGTCATGACCCTGAAGAAATATATAGACTCCCCTCTTTAAAAATACATTTGCACGCAGATATTTGCATATAATTTGAGGAGTCATGGACCCTGAAGTCCCTTAGACTTCTGGCCTTCTGGTTCAAGTGTTAACCAGCTCCCTCTGTAGCTTGGGCTGACCTCTCCAGGCTCTTCCTACCTGCCCATCATAGACCCTGCCCACACTGGCTCCTCCATGCCTCTTCTCATGAGGTTCCCTTGATCTGAATACGGTTTCCTAAGGCCCATGCCAAATCTCACCTTCCTTCCAGCCAGCCACACACCCACTGCCCTGACCCCAACCCAGGAATAAATTATCCCAGCCCTCTTGCCCTCTAGCCCCCCGGTGTATCCCACCTTATAGTGAAAGCCAGAGCCCACAGGTTTGCTTCTGTTACATCATGATCTCCCTGTGGGGCCAATTCACCATTTTCTTTACTGTGCTGAGCCCAGAGCTTTGTCCACAGCCAATAAATGAGGGTTAAAATGAATTCAACGGGAAATTTAAAGCCTCAGGGTCCAAGGACAGCTAATGGGATCTCACAGCTCAAATACCAACATTACCAATATGTCAGAGCAAGGGAACAAAATGCTGAGCTCACCACAGCTAGGTCTTTGATCATATTTGTCAGATGAGGAGTCTGTGCCCTGGGACTTGTGGAGGTCGAAGTGGAGTCTCTGGTTGGTGACTGACAGCCTCACACATGGGGACTCTATCCTTGACCTCATCCAAAAGGCAGAGGCTGCCAAAGGTAGAGGACCATTTGACTCACCATTTGGTGTTTTTTATTCTCTCCCTTGACAGCACCGGAGAATGTGTGGGGCGAGGTTAGGGGATGCTCTTGAGCAAATCACACTGAAGATGGGTGTTGCCCACATCCCCCCACCACACCCCACCCGTGACTTCTCCTTCCCTCACCCCTTCTGTACTCCTGGGCTGCAAACGTTCCCTAATTAAGCCCCATTCACCCCTCAGTGTAAATTAGTGCAGTCCACTAGGCCGAGGCAAGATGGAAGACTTTGGACATCAGGAGGCAGCCAAGGCTTCTGGGACTGCAAAAACAGAATGCAGGAAAAGAATTCCTAAAGGAAAGGCTCAACCAGAACAGATGGGCCAAGATGAAGTCCAGGACAATCCAACTGGCTGGAACCAGGAAAGAAGCCACCAGGATCGAGAGGAGAGTGTGCAGGGCCTGTCAGGAAGAGACAGGGTCGATGCAGGTGAGTCCCAGGGGCTGCTAAGTTCTCCCCCACCCTGCCACTCACCACGACTCTGGCCTGGCACTTGGCATTTCTTCTTAATGTGTTTGGCATTTCCTGTGTTTTAAAAGGCATTCTTGGGCTTGACAAGATGAGAGAGAAATAAAGGGATAAATCTCAGACCTGCTTTCTTTGAGCTTGCATTGACATCTAAATGACAATGGTAGCGACAGTCTGCGCAACCACAAATGAAGCTTCTATCTGCTTCCTTCCAGACACCTTGGCTTTCCCTCACTGCAAGGGAAAGGAAACTGTTTCTTGAGGGCAGTACTAGGGTAACCCTGGCCACTCCACCTTCTCTCTAAGGTGGTCTTTATCATCCTCCGTAGGAGGTCGTGTCATTCCCATTTTATAGTTGAAACAGATTCAGCAAGTACACTCAGAGCAGATAAGTCCTTGTCCAAGGACTCGTGGTCAGCCACTGTCACTTTTCACTTGTGACTGATTTCTTTTTTTTTTTTTTTTTTTTTTTTTTGAGACGGGGTCTCACTGATGTTACCCAGGCTGGAGTGCAATGGCGCGATCTCGGCTCACCGCAACCTCCGCCTCCTGGGTTCAGGCAATTCTCCTGCCTTAGCCTCCTGAGTAGCTAGGATTACAGGCACACACCACCATGCCCAGTTAATTTTTTTGTATTTTTAGTAGAGTCGGGGTTTCACCATGTTGACCAGGTTGGTCTCGATCTCTTGACCTCGTGATCCACCCGCCTCGGCCTCCCAAAGTGCTGGGATTACAGGCTTGAGCCACCGCGCCCGGCCAGTGACTGATTTCTTTGAGGCAATGAGGCTCTAGTCTTGTTCAGATGCTATATTTGTGCCTTGAGTCATTCTGTCAGCTCCCTCCACTAACAGTAATGCCATTCCAACACCAGCCCTGGTGTCAAATAAAAGTCCTTGCAGATATAAGATGGTATGGACAGAGGAACTGGGTTTTCCAGCTGTAAGGGATGCAGACAGGGAAACTGACCCCAGCAGGTGAGTGTGGGTTGACACCCACCACTGCCAGCGTGGCCAGCCTTCGCTCTCTCTCCGCCTCTCTTCCTTTATGAATGACAAGTCCATTGCCAGCAGAAAATTCTTCAATGAACATACACATTCTGGAAGTGGGGGTCCCCTTCCAGGGCTTCTGTGTCCCTGGGCAATGTTTCTGCTTTAAATTCCCCATTTCCCCTTCCATCAACAGCCTCTTAACGAGGGACCCCCAAATCGTGTACCAGTTTTAGTCACACCCACGTTTGCTGACAAATCTGGAAATTGCTCTTATTAAGCTCTCATTATCTCACTAGTGATGTGGTTGTGACTTGCCCTGTTTTGTCCTTCAGAGCTGCTGTGCCATCCACTCCCTCCTTCCTACAGCCTGATGAAGGAAGGACTTGTAGTCCCTCCTCCTCCCTTTCTTGTTTGTAGAACTGTAGTTCTCTATTTATTCTTTCATTTCTTCTTTAATCACAGGTTCCCGCATTCATACTTTCCATTTTTCTTTTTTGTGCGTTGAAGACTTCTTGGGCATCTCCTCCGTTTCCTGAACCTGTTCTGTCCAGAGCTCATGTCTGTGCATATTTTCACAATTACTTCCTTTGTTGATTTTAATTCCTGTACAGCAATTCCAGCCACCTAGGTAAATGGAAGACTGTAGATGACCCACCTCCCTAGCCTCCTTACTCCTTCCCTCTCCAGGAAAATGCTCCCAGACTCTAAAACCTCTGCCTCTTCACGTAACATAACAGCAACATTCAGTAACATTCCAGAGGTGCGGTTCCACATTCAAAGCCTGTTCACCATTCTAAGTGCTCCTCAGCAACTCCAGAAAGAGATTTTATCCTTCCATCCCTATTTCACAGCAAGGGAAACAGGCTCAGAGACTCCCGAGGTTTCCCCACTGGTGAGAGGCACTGGGAGAAGCATGCAGCATGTGTCTGCAATTCAGAAGCGTCCGCTCCTTTCATTTCATTGGTCTTTACCAGCAAAAGCCCCAGATGTGCAAGATGCAGTCTTCTCCACAAAGACCCAGCTGCAGACACGGGTGGATCTTCCAAACTGAATTCCCAAAAAACATTGTCCGTGCACACCGCCACCGTCAGGTCTGGGAGTACGTCTGTCTCCACGTGCTCGCCAAAATTGGAAGGGTAGGGTTTGGGCCACCTGTTTGTTATTCCTGCAAAGGAAAGATGGTATCTGCTTTTCTTCTTCCTGAGGTCCTGGGCTTCAGGTCTTCTTTTCCTTATGGAAGACAACTGATGAGGAAAGAAAGGAGTTAGAGCTTCTCCATATGCTTGTCTGCGATCAAAGTTTCCCTCTTGGATCAGGGGGTCCTCTGGCAGCTGGTTTAAGGATGCTCCCCCAATCCTCCAACCTGATCAAAATCCTGAGGCATCTTCTCTGCAGACCGCAGCAGCCCCTGCATTTCACAATATGCCACAGATAGGATCTACTTTTCCTTTATGAGCATTTAAAAATACTCCCTATCAGGTTCACATGGAGGTCTCTTCCATGCTGTAACTCACACATGCACGCCTTGGTAACCGGGGCCTGCTGTTCACCTCCCCTCTCTTCCTGGGCTTAGACATGTCCCTTGAATGCCTCCACCCCCTGGAATCTCTCCCTGGTTCTTATCACTGAGCCTCTGGAGCTTGTCAAAGTTTAAAACCATCCACACTTGATGCTTTCCTTCTTGGTTTGGACAGACACCGAACATTTTCTCATCCTTGCTGGAACAGAATTCCATAGCTTGAGCCATCACATCTTTCAGGACAGGACTTTTGCCTGGGCTCATACTCACAAGCTTGGCACGTCGCCACAATCCACACTCTGCGGGCACCAGCAAAACCTCAGGCGTGCGGGACCTGTGGAGAGCCCTTGCTCACACAGCGGGGACACCCTTTAATACAAGATTCCCCCTGCACAGCCATTCCTCTTGCTTTGATCTTGCCGGAGAAGTCAGGATGTGCTAAGCATGTATCTTCCTGGGGGTGGGGCGGGGGTGGTGGAGCTGCCTGGGGCAGGGAGGCACCAGGGAATTCCCAGGGGAATGTAGCTCTGGGGCAGTCTCCAGCAGAGCCAGAGTGAAGGCTGATGCCTCGAGAGTCTGCGAGACGGTAATGAACCTGAAGACCGGGGCAGCCGTGAAAGTGCAGCAGGGTCTGCTGTCAGCTCCCTGCAGTCATACAGCAGAGCAATAAAGGGAATGAAGTCTCCAAACAATGCTAACCCTACCACGGCTATTCCCACCACACCTCCTTTTTCACCTTCCTGGTCTTTTTTTTTCAATCTTGAAATAATGATAGGTTCATACGAAGTTGCCCAGTGGTTAAGCAAATAACCGTCACACAAAATCAGAGCCCGGAATTGGACACCAGGTCAGTGTGTGTGTAGCTCTATGCCATTTCCTCTCATGCGCAGATTTGTGTAATCATTACTGCACTCAAGATACAGAACTATCTCATCACTACAAGGAATATAGCTACTCTTTTTATTGGATCCTAGAAGTATTCCAGGTACCATGCTAGGCATGATTTTGTTTCTTCCTATAACACCCTAGGAAATAGCGTCTCTAATTATCTTCATTTCACACATCAGAAGACTGAGGCTTTGGGTGGTCACGTTTCTCACCCACATTCTCATGGGTAGCAAGAGCAGAGGACTCAAGCTGGTGTCTTAGCATCTCCATGACATAGCCAAGCACCATGTACCTGCTCTGCACATGGGTCTGGAGGACCCTTTTAGTCTAGGTTTGTTGGGTATCAAGCTGGGCCGGACCCTTCGAGAAGAATATCATCCTCACATCTGTCTTATCTGATTTCATCAACAAACTGGTTCATGTTAACAAAGCTTTAGCGTGGAAAGTGGTTTGCGGCGGATAATTGCACACAGCATCATTTAAGGAGAAGATGAGCATCAACCCTAAACAAGAGAATGAATTTGTAAGAAGATCAAGCAAGAAGAATGTTTTCTCCAGGATAGCAAAAAAGGGCGGGCTTAACCAGAGTTGTGAGTCAGGGGCTTAAACAGCAAATGGGTGAGTGTAAGAGCCACACAGCATGAGATTTGGAAGGAAACCAAAGCACTCAGCAGGTGTGCTCTGGAAGGAGCTGCAGACACTCCCAGCTCCCGCAAGCCTCCATCCCCTTCCCACCACCACAGCAATGATGTTGTACAGAGAACAACGTTGGGGTACCTGCCTCGATTCCCATCTCCATTACTTCATTCTGAAGAAGAACTTTCCATTTGCCATGGCACTTGTTTCAGAGATACTAAAACTGGAGGCTGTGTTTCATGCCTTCTAGTTCTAACCAGCCCAAACTGAAAAAGGACAAGGAACTATTAGCTACCCCAGCATGCTGACCTAAAGAAAGACTCCCCTGCAGAGTGAAAAGGGGGATTTGTCATTATGCATCATGAGCAGGCTAAGTATAGGCTTAAGATTCATAGCATGAACCTAGGGATTGCATTCTTCCCTACCCAGGCTCTATGTGCAACCCTTAATCAGCATAATGATAAGAAAATTCTCCCTTCTTCCCTCCTTCCCTCCCTCCCTCTCTTTCTCCCTTTCTCCCTTCCACCTTTCTCCCTTTCTCTTTCTTTCTCTCTCTCTCCCCCTCTCTTTCTCCTTCTTTCTTTCCTTTTCTTTCTTTCCTTCCTTCCTTCCTTCCTTTTTTCTCTTTCTTCTTTCTTTCATTAGACTGGGTCTCACTCTGTCACCCAGGCTGGAGTGCAGTCGTATTATCTGCAGCCTCAACCTCCTGGGCTCTAGCAATCCTCCCTCCTCAGCCTCCCAAGTAGCTGGGACCACAGGCATGTGCCACCACCCCTGGCTAATTTGTAAAAAATTTTTCATAGAGATGGGCTTTCACCATATTGCCCCAGTTTGTCTCAAACTCCTGGGCTCAAGTGATCTTCTGGCCTTGGCCTCCCAAAGTGCTGGGATTACAGGTGTGAGCCTCTGTGTTCTGGCAAAACTTCCCTTTCTAGAACATGAGATCCCCTAGTCTCTGTGGCCCTATAGCTGCTCGGTGAACATTCCCTTGTGTGGGTCCTCTCGCAAAGCAAGCAGATGGTCTCAGCTCTCTATTGATCACTACTGTGGGCTTTGTCTTTCTTTAACAATTTCTTTCTCTCTGAATCAGGAACTCTCCTCAGAATCCGTGTGAGAGGATGCCATTTATTACCACAATCATTTCCAGTGTTCTCCACCTTTCTCTTCTTCACAGCATGACTTCTTTACTTTACCTTCAAAACAAATTAGTTGTAACACATCACACCTGATCACGACCCTGAGGTTGAGAACCAGCCCACGTGGGTTTTTTCTGCAAGATGCAACATATTTTTTAAAAGTCAAACGCAAGTCTGTTTGGCTGGGCGTGGTGGCTCACGCCGGTAATCCCAGCTCTTTGGGAGGCTGAGGTGGGTGGGTCATTTGAGGTCAGGCGTTTGAGACCAGCCTGGCCAACATGGTAAAATCCCCCCTCTACTAAAAATACAAAAATTAGCCAGGCCTGGTGATGGGTGCCTGTAGTCCCAGCTACTCAGGAGGCTGAGGCAGGAGAATAACTTGAACTCAGGAGGCTGAGGCAGGAAAATCGCTGAGATTGCACCACTGCACTCCAGCCTGGGTAACAGAGCAAGACTCTGTCTCAAAAAAAATAAAAAATACAAAAAGTCAAACGCAAGTGTGTTTGAAACTCTAGCAAGGATTGTGGTCAGGATCTCTGGTGCAGTCAGTGTAGCTGTTGGCAGAAAATCACTAATTTTGAAATGTCTCAAAGCGGTTTCCACTTGTCGAGCAAGCTAACTGCTGTTTAGTGAGATGGGGCTTTTGGAAGTGGCTTGATGTGGCCATTCACGCAGCCATAACTTACACATAACTTCTCTCTTTTTTTATGGCTGCAACATTTTATGGTTACATGTTAATCACATTTTCTACTTCCTTCTCCCCTAAGCTCAGCGCAGGCAGTGATGTTGAAGAGCCTCCTCTCAGCACGAAGTGAGGATGCCTGCATTCTTAGTTGATGGCAGCCTGCAGACTTGGAAGCGTTCCCTTCGGTTATCCTAGAGAATGTGGGCTTGTTTGAGGTCAGAATGCGGGAAGTGTATGTACAGGCCCGACCTGCTGGGTCCCTGGGGAGCCATATTTCAACAGCAAGAAAAATGTATCGTTCTTTCTCTTAGTTTCAAGTCCAGATGTGCACACTCTGAGGAGGCAGCATGCTGAGATGTGCTCGAGGTGAACATTCAGGGCAGCTGCTCTTCAGAAGCAAGGCTTGTAATGTGGCCCCAAGTACACTCTCCTGCTGTTGGTCTGGAATCGACATTGCCGGTCCAGATGTTTTGAGAGAAGCTGTAAATCTCTGGCTGCCTCTGATTTGATCTAATGAGGGGGCATGACTCTTGGGACCAGTGGGCGGGATGACTCCTCGGTGGGGTACCTCCAGCCGTCCTTCAGGGGTGGCCTCAGGGTGTGAGTTATGGTCCCAGAGGACTCATCATTACTTGAAAGTTTTGCAGATGGAATTGTTACCTGTGTCGGCAGATCTCAGGAGGGCAGGAGGACTTAAATGTTCCAACAGACTGGTTGATTCTTGTAGCTGTGATCCCAAAATTCTGTGGAGAAAAGCACAGGGAGCTCTGGGATGTGAATCCTGGTGATCCGGGAGAGGCTGGTGTTGCTGAGAGACGAATGATCTTCTACCAGCCCAGAAGGTTGATAAGCAAATGGGGACTTCAATCCGCTGTCCAGAGGAGGCAGCCTCGAAGTGGGCAGGCTGCTGTTGTTTTATCAGGTGATCACATGCACAGGCAGTCACAACGAGAAATGTTCTAGTCTCAAGATGTAGATATTTTTCTTTAAATCTAACTTTTTCCAAGTGTTTTACTGTGCCCCAGATACCCACACACAGACTTCTCACTTGATCCTCATAATAGCTCTTTGCAATAGATGTTATGATGCACATTTTACCAATGACCACACTGAGGCTCAGAGAGAAAAATAACTCGCCCAAGGCCCCTCAGCTTGCAAGTGGCAGAATAAGCATCCAAATCATGCTTCCTCCTTGAAATTTCTTTACCAAGAGGGCATCTTACTCAGCTCAGGCTGTTATAACAAAATTCCACAGTCCAGTCAGCTTAAACAACAGGAATTTATTTTCTCACAGTTTTGGGAGCTTGAAGTCCAAGATTTAGATGTTGGTCCATTTGGTTTCTAGGGAGGACTCTGTCCCTGGCTTGTGGACAGCCGCCTTCTTGCCATGCCCTCACATGGCCTTCCTTCTGTGACAGACAGGGGAGAGACACAGCACAAGCACAGCCTGGTGTCTCTTCTTGTAAGGACACTAATCCTATCCACTCAGGGCCACACCCTTGTGACCTTGTTTAGCCTTAATTACTTCCTTAGGGGCCCTGTCTCAAAGTACAGCCACACTGAGGGTAGGGCTTCAACATATGAATTTGGGGGTGCTGGGAGACACTAACATTCAGCCCATAACAATGGGATGCCACGTCCTGTTCCACATGGTATGTAGAGGTCATCCACAAAGAGCCCCAGGATCCAGTTCAGCACGGAGTAAACAGTGGTCTTCCTTCCACCAAGAGAGAATGCCTGGCTGAGGATGAGACGATGGGAGCTGAGGCCATGTGTCCCAGTGAGGGGTATAGTCTGGCTGGAGAAGGAGCATGCAAGTCATGAGTTGTTCTGAGATGGGTGTGGGTGGTGTCTGATGCTCTTTATCAAAGGTCTTGGGTTGAGAATGAAAAGGATTCTCAAGGAAGGGAAGTGGCAGAGATCCCAGATCATTCCTCTCTTCTCCCTTCCCTCTTCCTTTTCTCTTTTTTTTTTTTTTAATTTTTTTTTTTTTTGAGACGGAGTTTCGCTGTTGTTGCCCAGGCTGGAGTGCAATGGCACGATCTCGGCTCACCGCAACCTCCGCCTCCTGGGTTCAAGCAATTCTCCTGCCTCAGCCTCCCGAGTAGCTGGGACTACAGGCACGCACCATCATGCCCAGCTAATTTTTGTATTTTTAGTAGAGACGAGGTTTCACCTTGTTGACCAGGATGGTCTCGATTTCTTGACCTCGTGATCCACCCGCCTCAGCCTCCCAAAGTGCTGGGATTATAGGCGTGAGCCACCGCGCCCGGCCCTTCCCTTTCTCTTAATTAATTAATTAGTTGATTAATTAGTAAATCGATTAATTGGTTAATTAACTTATTTTGAACTTTGCCTCTGGAACCCTGCAGATTAGAATGAACTAGGGTCATGGAGGCCCTATTATACCTTATTTACTACCATAGTTCCTCAGTTTAGCTACAACATTAGTGCCACAATTCATCCAGCCTCTTCTTGAATATCTCCTCTGTCTAGAACCTCACCACCTCCTGAGCCAGCCATTCTATTTTCAAGTGTCTTTAACTGAAACAAGCCCCATCTCTCCATAGGTCCTTGTTCTACACTCTGGGGCAATACAAAAGGAGTCAGCTTTTTAGAAGACAGAACAAATCTCTTCCTATTCAATATCTGATCTTATCTGATCTTCACACTCAGTGTTTCCTTCCATTTTTCAATCTCCAAGATGACCTGGTCACTTTCTAAGATATATTCCATTTCTACACCAGCAGCAAATTCTGGTTAAAAAAGCTTGCATTCCCCAGAATTAAGTCTGTTGTAACTGTTCCCTATATTGTGTTCTTCTGAGCCATAAGGCCGCCACTCATCCCTCAAAAACCGCTTAATGATATTTTCTTTGTTCCAATCCCCCCAAGGGACAAGGAACATAGCTCTGAGTGAGATGGATAGAATTCCTGACTTCAGAGGGTTTACAGTCTAGTGGGGGAGGCAGGGAAGACAGGCAAACAAAGAAGACTGCCAGGTAGGAAATGCCATGAAGTAATCACATTTTCTTTCACAATCAGACTACACTTCTAAAGTCTAGTGAGCACTTATTTTCAGCGAGGCACTTTGCTAATTATGAAACAAATAGTTTTGTCTACAAGTATAGCTTTCTTAAAAAACAAAAGCAGTTTCATAGGGCTTATGTTCTCTGATCCTCACGAGAACCTTGTAAAGTAAATAGGATGGACATTATTTTGATTATTTACCCCACTTTGCAAATGAGGAAACTGCGACTTATTTTAGCAGCAATGCAGCCAGTGAATGTGCAGGAACCCAGCCTCTGACACCAGCCGCTCTCCACGCGCCTCACTGCCACACCTTGACGAGCTTGCTGATGGCTTGCCCTCGTTTCCCAAGCCAGCTCTGGTTTGGTCGTTAGCAGTATTGTCTGCCCGTTTTTAACAAATGTATGCATTCATATATTTATGTGGTGGTTTTGGTGGTTTGGAAAACAGATCTTACATCTCAGCCTTTGTAGGGAGGATGCTGGCACAGGGAGCCAGGAAGAGGCTGGCCAGCACCCAGAGGCCCTGCCGCACAGCAGGGGGAGGCTTCCACATCAGGAAGTGCAGACTGAGACAACTGGGGAGGTCAAGTGGCCCCTCGGTCAATAGCCGGGACTTGGGGTCGGGTCATGGCAACAGCTGTAGGAAACAACCATGCTGGGGCAGCGGGTCCTGGGGCTTTGGGGGAAGCAGAACGTGGCGCCTCCCAACCATGGAGGAGGAGAAGGAGGAGGCGGCAGTGTTTGAAAGTCTGCTAAATGAGGGGCAAAAAATGCTTCTGCCTCCATCACCCAACACCTCCCCTGGCAGCTGTGCCCTTGAAGGACTCTCAGGCCCTCTTTCTACCACTTGTTCAAGAAGGCACAATCCCAAAAAGAATGCACCCATCTTTCTTCAAGTTTCTCACTATTAGTCTTTTTTTGAGTAACCTACACAGGACATGTTTAATTCATCTCCTGATTGGTTCGTTGGTCACTCTGCTGTGGAACCTCTTCATGACATACCTGCATTGGACATACATCAATGCCTCATGTTTGCAGGAACTGTTCAGTTACCTAGACCAGGGCCAAATAGCGGAGCCCTGGGATTTGACACTGAGATGGTTCAGGGCTCTGCCAAAGACACCAGCTAAGACAGAGGCGTAGTGGGAAGCAGGCTCTCTACAAGGAACCAAATAGATGTGAAGGAGACTAACTTTGTGAGGGAAGGTAAGAAGAAGCGGCGTGACAGACAGGAGCAGAGGCTTTCCATTTTCCCTCCCACCTTCGCCAGCCGGATCCGGACCCTGCAGAAGGTCGTCTTTTCCACAGTAGCCTGGTCCTAGTAGCAGATTCAAGGCTCTGAGCTGTGGTAAGTATTATTAGGGTCTGGGGGCAACTGAATGAGCATCCCCACTGTGCACTCAACAGTTAGGCCATATTGGTCTACGGTGAGCAGCATGAGTATCCTCAAAATGACATGTGTCGGGAAAGTAAAATGAAAACCGGGGAGTAAAAAGCAAAATAAAAATATAAACTAGGGATCCAAGTCAAAGAACCTGTGATTGGTGGGATGGCCTTTGGTGTGCTATTTTTTTTTTTCTTTTGAGATGGAGTCTTGCTCTGTTGCCCAGGCTGGAGTGCAATTGTGTGATCTCAGCTCACAGCATCTTCTGCCTCCCAGGTTCAAACAATTCTCCTGCCTCAGCCTCTCAAGTAGCTGGATTACAGGCAGGCACCACCATATATGGCTAGTTTTTGTATTTTAAGTAGAGACAGGGCTTCACCATGTTGGCCAGGCTGGTCTCAAACTCCTGACTTCAGGTGATCCACCCACCTCAGCCTCCCAAAGTGCTGGAATTATAGGTGTGAGTCACCACACCCAGCCTGATGTGCTCTTTAATTAGCCCTGGGAAACTTTCATTAGCCTTCTGAGCCTATTTCATTGTCTGCGACAGGACAGGGATGAGCCAAGTGAACCCCAAGATCCCATCAAGCTTGAAGACCCCGGGTTCCTGGGAATAAACCTTCAAGAGGAACACGAGAACAGAGAAGACATGCAAAAAATTATTTAAAGATAGGAGATGTTTCCAAATGTTGCAAATGTGCCTTCTATTTCCATTTCCATTTCCATTTCCAAGTTTACAGTGTTTTTTCAAAGATTAGTTCCCTTGTTAAATCCCCACAGTGACTATGAGCCCCCTGGTCTTACGGAGACGGAGGTGATGTGGCTCCATGGAGCTAAGAGAGTTGTCCAAGGTGGCATCCAGCGTGAATGAAGATGCGAACCCAGGATGAGGGCTTGGTCACCCTTGTTCACCACCTTGGCCTTGAACTCATCACATCATCCCACTTTGCTCTCCACTCCTTCATCCGTTCCTCATCTCATGGTCTCTGAACCTCTTACCTTGACTCCTGCCTACAGCACATATTCATCCCTGTCCGTGAGAGACTGGAATTGTTCTCCTTTTACCCCCTCTGGGCTCCCTTCCCCCACCACAATCTGTACTCAGCCTAGGGTCGCCTTTGTGGTTGTTGACCCAGGTAATATTCAACTCAGGCCCTGAGACTTGGCCTGGCACTGGCCGATGTGACCAGTATCCACGAGAAAGGAATTCAGCAATCGCCGCACAGAAGAATTATGCACACAAAGCAAGAGGGTCTTTCTGCCACATCTCTGAACAGGAAAATCAATTCAAAAAATATTTATTGGCACTTACTCTGTGCAAGGCATAGTCTGTATATTAAAAAGAGAAATGGTATGGCCTTGAGGTGGTGGAGAAAATAAAAACATGGTTCAACCAATTTGTAAACGTCTGAGAGACTCCAGGGAACAAGGTAGGTTCCATAAAATACTTGTCCAATCAGACTAATATCTCTATTTATTCCACAATAAGAATAATGACATCTGGAGGGATATGTCACCCCTTTGGACAGCAGTATGACTTGTCTTCCAAAATCCAAACAATGAGCTGTATCCAGAGGTGGCACTGTGCCCAAGGGAGTGAGTGGGGGGACCAGAAAGCAGAGGGGGGGAGGCAGGCATGGGTGGGAAACCCATGGGGCCGGACTTACAAGTGAAGTGGCTTCTAGAGTTGAAGCTGCAGGGGAAGGTTAGCTGGGAATGCTCGTGCTGATGGTTCCTCCTTGGCCACTGTTCCTGGAGTCTCCTCCTCCTTCCAAATATAGTATCCAATTTGACTCCATATAGATCGTGTGTGTTTTTTTCTTGCAGAAGAACTGCTGTCCGTACCTTCAGGACACAGGGAACTACAAGATTAAGTCATAACTTGCAGGTCTATATTTGTCTGATAGAAATTGCAGGTGGCTGGCGGGGTGAGGTGGCTCACACCTGTAATCCCAGTACTTTGGAAGGCCAAAGCAGGTGGATTACAAGGTCAAGCGATCAAGACCATCCTGGCCAACATAGTGAAACCCCATCTCTACTAAAAATACAAAAATTATCTTGTATTAGCTTGTGGTGGCACACGTCTGTAGTCCTAGCTACTCTACTCGGGAGGCTGAGGCAGGAGAATCACTTGAACCTGGGAGGCGGAGGTTGCAGCAAGCCAAGATCATGCCACTGTACTCCAGCCTGGCAACATAGTGAGACTCTGTCTCAAAAAAGAAAAGAAAAGGAATTTCAGGTGGCTGCATGTTTTCACTTATAAGTGGGCAAAGGAATGTGTACACATGGACATAGAGAGTGGAATGATAGACACTGGGAACTCAGAAGGGTGGAATGGGGGAGTGGAATGAAGGATGAGAATTATCTAATAGGTACAGTGTACACTGTTCGGATAATGGTTACACTACAAGCCCAGACTTCACCACCACTCGATACGTCAGTATCACAAAACTATACTTGTAGCCCCCAAATCTGTAAAAGTAACAATTTTTAAAAAAGAAAAAAGAAACTAGAGTTAGAAATGAAAGAAATCCATCAGGCTAAAAAAAAGTATCCGCCAGGGCATCCCATGTAGTCACAGAACTGCAGGGACCCCAAGGGCAAGTGACCACTTCCCGGTCAAGGGCACCAGCCTCAGCTGGGACATCTTCCCTGGCCCTGGCACACTGCCTGCGCTGACCCAGCAGCCCACCTTCAGGCAGCTCTGCTTATCAGCACACTCTTTCTTAATGCTCACTTTGATAGCTTCCACTTGGTGATGGTGGCTTCTGCTCCTTAAGGCCGTAATGAACAAGCATAATTCCTAGACTTTTTAGTGTCGGGGACTGTAATGCAAGATTAAGAGCTCCTGGAGTGCAGGGACTAAATTAAACGTTTGAGATTCTTTTAAAATTTTGAAAGAAATACAAGCTCATGGTATAAAATTCAAACCACACAGAAGCAGGCGTAGTAAAAACATTCTAGTCTCCCTTCGCCTCTATCCCAGAGACAGCCACTATTAACAGCTTCCAGACTTTTTATTATGCATTTATATTAATGTGAGCTGTGATTCAGTCCAATTTGCACTTTTAAAAAGCTCTCTCTGGCTCCAGGGTAGAGGCCAGACTGGAAGAGCCAGGAGTAAGAACAGGAAGTCCATTGGCCAAGGTGAAAAATAACAGTGACCCAGACAAGGTGGCAGCAAAGGCAATTGAGCTGAGTGGGGGACATCCCATGTCTTTGGGGGCGGTAGAACCAGCACGCAATCGCTGAGTGACTCACTGGGCCAGCATTCACAGTGATCTTCCTTCCCTTCACCACACTGCTCTTTTGTCCAAGTTCTCCCTGGCAACAGTCAGAGAAGCAGAAAGCTTTAAAAATAGATGCGCGCTTCCCCTCACCTGCCACCGAAAGGCGGTCTCAGGACAACAGAGCAAAAGACAGAGCAGAGAGCTGCCCCCTGCTAGAGGCAAAGGAGACATTTCCTTTTAAATCTCTATTTTTAAACCCTGAGCACCTACTAGAAAGTGACCCGCTAACGTACCTAGGTTTTTATTTCTTGATGGTTTTCAACCCACGGGTAGAATTTGGAGAGGCTGGGTATTTGGGAAAATAACTGACTCCTACCACCTTTGCAAGTGCCCCAGATTTATCCCTGGGCTGTGAACCTATTTGCAGATTTCCTTTCTTTTTCCTCTTTCTTTTTTAGATTGCCTGAGCCATCCCTATACATAGCCAGAGAAGAGGCTGACTGAAAATAGCTGCTTAGAGAAACAGAGCAATTTGGAATAAGCAAAAATAGCTCTTTGTGGTAACTTGAGTGTCTCATTTTCAATATTGATTTCCGTGCCCTCTTGAGTGTGGTTTTCTGGAACTGCACGGGCAGGCAGGTGACAGCACCACCCTGTTTATTTCCTGATGTACACAACACACAGTGGCTCTCTGGTCATGTGTGCTGAAATAAACCCAGGGAGCAGACTTATTTTCACATGTGGTCACTAAAACTGTGGGTGCCTGCCAGCCGTGGTGGCTCACGCCTGTAATCCCAGCACTTTGGGAGGCCAAGGCAGGCAGATCACAAGGTCAGGAGATCAAGACCATCCTGGGTAACATGGTGAAACCCTGTCTCTACTAAAAATACAAACAATTAGCCGGGCGCAATGGCACATGCCTGTAGTCCCAGCTACTCCAGAGGCTGAGACAGGAGAATCGCTTGAACCCAGGAAGCAGAGGGTGCAGTGAGCCGAGATCACACCACTGTACTCCAGCTTGGGTGACAGAGTGAGACTCCATCTCAAAACAAACAAACAAACAAAACAAACTGTAGGTCCGCACTCACCGTGGCACACAGATGTCTTACAAGGTACTTCAAGCTGCACAGAGCAGCCCACAGCACATCTTCTAAGGAATGTGATTCCTACCATCAGGTGCTACCTGAGCTCCCTGCCATTTTTTTTTTGTTTATTATACTTCAAGTTCTGGGGAACATGTGCAGAACGTGTCGGCTGGTTACGTAGGTATTCATGTACTATGGTGGTTTCCTGCACTCATGAACCCATCATCTACATTAGGTATTTCTCCTAATGCTATCCTTCCACTAGCTCCTCACCCCTGACAGGCCCCACTGTGTTATGTTCCCCTCCCTGTGTCCATGTGTTCTCACTGTTTAGCTCCCACTTATGAATGAGAACATGCAGTGTTTGGTTTTCTGTTCTGTTAGTTCGCTGAGAATGATGGTTTCCAGCTTCGTCCATGTCCCTGCAAAGCACATGAACTAATCCTTTTTTGTGGCTGTATAGTATTCCATGGTGTATATGTGCCACATTTTCTTTATCCAGTTTATCACTGATGGGCATTTGGGTTGGTTCCAAGTCTTTGTTGTTGTGAACAGTGCCACAGTAAACGTATATGTGCATGTATCTTTATAGTAGAATGATTTATAATCCTAAAACCTTTTTTTTTTTTTTCTTTTTTTGAGACAGGGTCTCACTCTATCACCCAGGTTGGAGTGCAGTGGCACAATCTCGGCTCACTGCAACCTCCACCTCCCAGGTTCAAGCAATTATCCTGCCTCAGCCTCCCGAGTAGCTGGAATTACAGGTGCACTTCACCCCTCCCAGTTAAATTTTGTCTTTTTAGTACAGATGGGTTTTTCCTGTGTTGGTCAGGCTGGTCTTGAACTCCTGACCTCAAATGATCTGCCCACTTTGGCCTCCCAAAGTGCTGGGATTACAGGTGTGAGCCACCACGCCCAGCCTGAACTCCCTTCCTTTTGCTTAAGTGTTCCTTGCCCAGATGAGTTTTAGAAAGTAGTGGCATTACTTCAAAATGGAGTTTCACACCAGGCCACACTTCAGAACTTCGAAGCTCTGGCGATAAAGTCTGGGCACACGCGACGTGAAAAAGTTGCATCCAAGATTCTGGTGTGGACTCTGGTAAGTCCTGTGGCTTTCGAACCAGATACACTTGCACACACTGGGACACAGGGAGCATCAGAGTGCTCAAAACACACGTGTTAGAACCCCAGGCAGCTGCAGGTCTATGACTAGGAAACCCAGCCCGGAACTTGGAGAAGGACCCCACTGGCCTGTGTCTCTCGTTTGGAAATACTTTATCCACCACGTGCAGGGGGATAAAAAGAAACAGAAACCAAGTTGAAATTCATCCAATGATGGATGAATCTCAAAATAATTATGCTAAGTAAAAGGAGCCAGACAAAAAAATGAATGCATATGGTATGCCTCCATTTATAAAAATTTTAGAAAATGCAAGCTAACGATAGTGACAGAGAGCTGACCCATGTTTGCTGGGGGACAAGCAGAAGGGAGGGAGGGATTGCAAAAGGGGAAAGGACACTTTTGGGGATGATGGATCTGTTCATTATCCTGATTGTGATGATGTTTCACAGGTGTGTACCTCGTTCAAAACTCATCAAATTGTACACTTACATGTGTGCAGTTTATTGTATGTCTGTTATATCTCAACAAAGCTGGGAAAAAGAAAGTCTACTCCAAAAGCGAGTTCGCTAGGTGGTGCTATTCCTGCTTGAGTCCTAGGAAGATCAGTAGACCATAAGAATAGTTCCCTTCAGCACGATGCCAGGTACGTGCTGTGCCTTTCTGTGCGTTATCTCATTTAATCCTCACTCAGCCCTAGGAGGAAAAGGAGGTGTAGAAACGATGAGCAATTTGCTCAGGTTCCCTGAGTGGGTCAGTGGAGCTGGGGTTGGATACATGTCAAAACGACGCCACAGCCCAAGCTCTTAAATCCGAGGAAGCATTCTGTTCTGGCTGTACCGCTAAACGGCTGTATGACTGAGTTGGGAGGGTCTTTAGACAAATATCCTTTTAGAGACCTAGACACTCCCCAAGCAATATCTCTTTATAAGACTTTCTTCAGGGGAAAGTCACCAAATTGT